CGAATTTTTAGGTTATACAATAATCTTTATGATTTTTAAACACATTTAGATAAAAAATTTAATTGTTCTAAGAACTGAACTGAACAAGATTCACCAATCTTAAGCTCACAAAACACTTTTTTCTCACTTAAACCAACTTGTAAACTCCTTAAATCGCTACGTTGTTAAAAAAAAACCGGCACGGAGAAAGGGACAAACAATCACATCTATCGCTCTATCTCATTTCTATGCAAGACGTATGCATAAATCTATCTTTTTCGTGTGCGAATGCGAAAGAAGGCGTCAATTTGTCTATAGGTTTCTCTGTCTACGTTTTATGCTTTGACCATGAAGGTTAGAGAACAGAAGAACGATCACTACGTACTGCTACGTACTAAAGCATAGCCCGCCTGTCCTTAAAAATTGTAGAATGTATAGCGGCGCTGACGTCGGTGAGTAGTAACTGCGAAGTTAGCTGTTTATGAGTACAAGTAGATGAAGTTAGTTGAATAATGTACAATTTTTCATTTCATTTTTAATGAGAAAATTTTCATGCTCCGTAATTTTGTAATTTTTGACAAAAAGAAACATTAAAAAATGGACAAATATTTTATTGTGCGTGGATGTGCAAGTGGTTTAGCATCTGATCGGAAAAATAGATTCAAAATGACTTTTATTGACCGAACCTCGAGCGATCGCAGCGCCTCACTTATGGTGTCCATATTTCCGAACACTATTTTCTACGGTGACCGTTCTCATGTTGTCTGACCTTCATGCTTGGTGCAATAAGTCTGACAGCTGTCAAAATGTATTTCTTAGATTTGGTTGACTATAATAAGATTTTTGACTTGGATGCTTGTTCTTTAAGCCATCTTAATTTCTTTCTTCTTCGTTTTATACATTTTTTCTTTACAATATGCTGATGCGTAACATTGCGATGTTTTTGGGATGACGACAGCTCAACCCAGTGGACAGTTGATAACGACAATCACTCAAGTTCATAAGGCGTCTAATCAATTAAGCGAACTTGAGGTTTATATCAACATCGAGACACATGTTTCGTCATTTTCTCTAATAGTTTACATGCGCAGACACTTAATATACAAAATCGCATCACTTTTTATGAATCAAAATCCATTTCAATCCATTATTTAAACGATAAAACAGGAGCAACAATCCGTCGACTGTCAAGTGCCTACCAAAACTTCAAAACAAACGTGAATAACTTTTATCGTTAGCACTTTTGCTATTTTTATTTCAGGTACCGTGGCTAATTAATATTTTTAATAATTGATTTATAATAATTAAAGCTTGTGTGTTAATAAATGGGTTTTAATGCACTTACTTTAACAAATACTACCTGCTCTCTTCATCATAGATTATGCACTTTTATAGCGCATCTTCATAATAGCTGTCTATTTATTTATTTAAACTTTTATGCGTATGTATTACATACATAACATTATATATCTATGCCATGAGTGAAGACAGAATCATTCTTTAGGAAAAAGCGTTAATTCACACTTGCAGTGATTTTCTAAAGTGTGCGAACTTTGTTTAAAAAAAAAACCCGTTGGAATATTTTTTAATGTCAAGGGATATTTTAGGCATATTTCAGTTATTGTCAGTTTCAGCCTATCAGTGTATGCTCAAAAAAATCCCCCTGCTTCATAAGCGCATATGGAATACCTCTTTTATTCTAAAATATTAATTTCTCAGAACATTGAAATGTAATTTGTAAATCTGTTTAAGGTTTTGTTCTGGTTTATGTAAAAAAGTTAAATTTTATTTGATTAATATATCACAAATCATTCATGATGACTTGACACTAGTCGCTTTATGAAATATTTCGCCTCAGATCTATAACTCGTATTAATTTGCCTTGCTTGACTGCCTTGTTGGTCTAGTGGTCATGAGTTGGAATCCCGAGCCGGAACAAAAGCAATTATTGTTTTTTTCTGTCCAGAAATTTTCAGTGGTAGCCTGGAGTTAGGTCGCTGGAGGTGTCTTCACCATCATGCCTCGGAAAGCAATTAAAGCCGTAGGTCCTGTACCTGATCTACCTCTGGCCGCGTTGGATTACCGTCCTACCGGACTATGAGAGTAACGGAGTAGACACTGCACCTGTGCTTGTGCATACGCTTGTGCACTATAATACTGACCTGCGTATGGCTATGGCTTCGTATGGCTGCGGATCGCTAGCCTACGTTGAGACTGTCCCGCCGTGACCACAATTCGACCTGGCCAACATTATAATTTGTAACTTAGCACCGTCGTAACATTTACTTTTAATCTCTGCTTAAGAAAATACGACCCTGAATACTTTAAATAGTAAACTTAATAAGAATTTTCGCTAGTTTTGTAATAAACGCATAAATTGTTGGCCCCTCGTCTGTCCAAACGCCATATTCTGACGTCTCAAATAATGGGCGCATCTGTCAAACGCTATAATATGGCGTCGAGTGATAGCAAACTATTTGTAACATATACATGATAAGAAAAAATTTGATTTAATAATGTATTTTTTTTCCTTTTTTTTTTGTAAACCTCCCAATTTTTTGTCCCGTTTTCGAGTAGAGCTAAGTGAGCCCTTCTCGACCTTGTCGTAAACAAAAATGCATGAAAAAGTTTTTTTTTAATTATTTATAGTTAAATATGCTTTTGACGTAAAACTATAACAAATAGTACTTGAAATAAAGGCTTTAATTTATTATTATTACACCTTTGCAAAAAATTGGGAGAAAAACACTTTTCTTACTTTCACTTTCAAATTAGTAGTAGTAGCTTTCGAAGTAAACCTGTATTTAAGTTATACATAATCTGATAGCTTATTTAATAAAGTTTCCATTGATGTATGATTTTAATATACCTTTTATACAAAATGTCTTGGAAATAGTGATTTTAATGAACAGCAGGAAGTAGTCTGGAAGTACTTCAGGAAGCGCTTGACAGATGCGCCTTACTGGCAAAAAAATGGCCGCGACATTCGAGAAGCTAGATATATTATATTAAGGTACATGGCCATGTGCCCCTGCCTCTTTCTAAGTATGCCACTGTAATACATGAGCATCTTAAAACTATTTCGTTGTCATGACGTACCTTTACAGTCGATTTCAAATCTCTAGGAAGAAACACCTTTAGAAATAGTAGAAACAAAATCCCTGCTTTCTATTATTCTCTCTTTTCGACGTTTTCGATTTCATTATCAGATGTTTCGCAATCGCACACGTATATATTTATGTGATTTCTCTAACATATTATCATTATCGGGGTGCCAGTGTTTCCTGGTATTACCCATATTAAGCTTTTACGAAACTCACGTTAGAAGATAGGGTGATATTTTCCTTCACAAGTCCATCGCTGGACACGGGTCTCCCCCAAAGAATGCTACAAAGCACGGTCCTGAGCCACCTGCATCCATGACTTCCTGCATGTCTTACCAGGCCGTCACTCCATCTAGTGGGGGGGGGGTCGCCCTACACTACGCCTACTGGTACGAGGCTGCCACTCGGGAACCTTTTTTCACCATCGGTTGTCGGTTCTTCGAGCTGTATGGCCCATTGTCAGTTCAGCTTACTAATTCATTGGACTATAGCGGTTACTCTGGTTCTACGGCAGAAATCCTCATTTCTAAGTTTATCACGCAGAGAAACCCCGAGCATAGCCCTTTCTATAGCTCGCAAAGTGCGTGTTCAATAATAACGTATATCTGAGACGTACGTAGTACTTCAATGCTAGCTCCACGGCTTTTTAAATAGCTAAAATAAAATGTTTAAAAAAAACTCGAAATACTAAAATTTCATTTATTACTTACTAAATTTTATTTTATATAGGATGTCAATGAAATTCCTTATAATGTATTATAATCTAAAACTACTTCAATACATTAGCAGATCATCTAAAATAAGCCTTACAGAGCTCAAATACTTGGTACTTTATTTTACAAAGTGTTAAAATAGACTTCATGGCTATATTAAAGCAATTATTATACTTAGTATGTATGACAATATACAATAAGGTTTAAGTAGATGTATAATTTTCAATCTTTAATTCACAGACTTCTTCAGATTCCTGATTTTTATTACAAAAAATTACCGTAACAACATTGCTATTAATAAATTGCATAATTATTTTTTTAAACCCGCAAAATGTATCGTATTTTGTATTAAATAATATCTATATAATGGCAGTGTTTATTGGTTTGCTTTACCATTTTATTGATAATTTTTTATGTGATGCATTTGTGTTGCATTTTAATTTCCTTTGTTATAGGATAGGGTGACAAACTAGCACACAGTCCACCTTATGGTAAATGGTTGCTGCGGCCCATGGACATCTACATTTCACCATTTTCACCGACTTCAGAGGTATGCAATTCGACTGTATGTTTTTTTATATGTTTTACCTCATAACTTTTCTCTGGATGAACCGATTTTGATGATTCTCTTTTTATCTGAAAGCTGGTGATTTTCGTGTGGTACTATATAATTCAATCAAGATCTGACTGGTAGTTTTTGAGTTATCTTTAATAATGCGTATTTAATTGATTTCGAATAAATTGATTAGGTCGTATTGAAGTCGGTTGTACAAAAGTTTTAGTTTTACCACTTGGGCTCTATTCATTTTTACAAATGAGAAAATGATAGAGCAATTTGTAAAGATTAATAGTTAACTGAATATGACTTCAATTATTTATTATTGAATGAAACGAATAAAAGTAAATTTGTAGGTATGGGATAGATTCAATAAAATCTTTAAATTCAGTAAAATAACCACGGAGGTATTTGTTACATGTATAAAAATATAGTTGAATACCATACAACTCAAAAATCTTTTTTGCAGCTGTTAAACATAAAAAAAATGAATTTAGTAGTAAAATTTTATTTAAAAAGGTTTGAATTTGCTGAAATTATACGTGTAGGTAGGTACCATAATTTATTTTAGTCCTATTCTTGAATTTTCCAGAATATTGCAGTTTAACTTGAACAGGAGCAGTAAATTAAATAATTCGAATATTCGTTTTAAGGATCACACTGGCAAACACAACAAGATGGAAATAGGAACCAGTCCATAAATATGCCGGCGCAGTCATTGCTTGGATCATAAGCGAGTAAACGATGCCATTTATATTTTTGTTCACAACTGCATTCACCAGAGCACCTTGACGTTGACTTCTTACTGAAAAACAAAAATATCATTATAAACAAAAATATATAGATTCCTATAATAATTTAAAAGGTAGATTATAGATACTAATGGTACGGGCTACGGGGTAATTTATCTCACTTGACTATGAAATTTCATTAAAGTTATGGTTGTTTACATAATTCATCTCTATATTTTTATACGTGATAGAGCCATGCTGCAGTTAAATTAGTAGCATAGTTGTAGCACGAATGGGTCGGCTCGACCGGGGAAGGACCACGCTCTAACAGAATACCAGCGTCATCTGTGTTTCGTATGGTGAGTGTAGAGAACCGGAGACTCTTTTTACTGGAAACGAGGCATTCCATCTTAGTCCTCACGGGTGACAACGCATCTGCATTTTGATTTGTTTATCGAGGATAGATGTAGATGTCTATGGGCCACAGCAACCACTTACCGTCAGGTGGACTGTGTGCTCGTTTGTCACCCTATCCTATATAAAAAATATAAGTATATAAAATTCAATTGCCGTCCGTTAGTCTCGCTAAAATACAAAAACGACTCGAACAATTTTGATGAATTTTTTTACGTGTGTTTGAGTTAGTCCCTGGATGATTTAAAAACTTAATTGGACCCGGTAGGTGGCGCTGTTGTTGAGATCCAAAAATCTCCTGTGCAAAGCCGGGGATGGATCGCTAGTATGTCATAAAAATCTCTGGTGAAACTAAAACTATCCTAAGCAAACTACGTTTTTATCAAATATCCAAAGTAAAATTATAGTTAAGAAATATGAAAGACAATGGTTTTTAGGATTAGGAATTACCCAAAATCTTTTTATTAAAATATGTCGGCCTTAATGCTTTTACTAAACTAACATAAACTAAACATCTAACTTTGCTTTTCTAGTTACTGCTAGTTGATATTTTCTCGCCCACGCTTTGAAATAAGAAGTTGTTTAAATTAAACTCGTTTAGATTTCTTCACAACGCCCGTCTGATAGTGGTAAGAAACTTTATGCACGCCTTGTAATATTTCTGTCTCATTTTAAAGTACAATTTCAGTTCAGAATAATGTAAGGCGTTTTAATTCACCAATTAGATAGTGTTTTGACAAAATTTGAACTGAACGTGTAAGATGCTGATTTATTATCGCGGCACTGTGAAGTTAATGTAACAATGTATCAATTGAAATTTATTGAACAGCGCTAAGATTATAATCAAACAACCAAGGTTTCAGGCATAAAATAATAATACCTACACATAAAGATCAAGTCAAATTATGATGACTGGCTTATTAGCTATTTTTTGGATATTTAAAAATAATTATTACGAAAGAAATTATGTAGGCAAAAGAAATTAAAACGGGGATTATTTTTACAACATTATTAATATAACAACAAGGTATGTATGTCGATAGTCTAGATAAAAATATTTGATATAAACTGCGTAGTCTAAACGCGTTGAAATAACATTTAAACAACAGCAATTACAAAAAAACAATATTACGTTTTTTTAGGGCTTTTGATCGTTCACCCGAACAGCTTTCTATCTACGGAAATGTAAAAAAATACCTTAACTTAAAGCTACAGACCACTAAAAACAACATTTTTTTTATTTAAGTCCAATGGGTCTAGCATATGTGCTTTTTCAAGAATGTTAATAAATTGATAGATTATATATTACTCTAAAAATTTCACTATATCCACTACGTCATGCCGGTGGGTTACTGTACCGATACACTCCTACTACTTATGCTGCTCCCTCTAACTGTATGCGAAATTTGGGTTCAGCATTTTTGAAAGAATTTTCGTCCAGCAATCTATATAAATATCTTCTTATAGATAGATAGATAGAATCTTATAGATAGATAGAAGATATTTTCTTGATTAAGTGGATGCTGTGTACATATATCCTAGATTGAGAATCCAAATGCAAATACGTTGTCACACCCGAGTGCTGCCTCGTTATCAGTAAAAATGTCACCGATATCATGCGAAACACATCTGAATTATTAACCGATAGTTGGACTCTAAAACATAAAGTTAAAATCTATGTGCTTACCTGCATACTTCTTGATGTATGGCCTGTTCGAAGTGCATAGTATTAACAATAGCTCGAACTTTCTTCGCTGAATTCAACGCCCAATATGGTGTTATTATTTCAGTTTTGCTCTGACACGCGTCTATTCTAAAATAGGTAACAAAAAAATTTAAAATCTGTTAAGAATAACTTGTAAATTGAGGAAAAACCAAAAAAAAAACACACGCAAAATGAGAATAAATTATATTTAACATTAACGATTCCTACTACGTTATTTCATTTAGTATAATTTGGTATTAAATAAAAGCTATAATACGTCTAAGGGTAATTATTGTCCGCAAAATTGGCACAATTTATAATATGAAGTAAAAGAAAGGAACACGCATACACGCAGGCGAGGTGACCCGCTCGCACGCACAGTCGCACACATGTACGGACGCACTCACGTGCAAAATTGTTTCCTACTACTTTTCCTTTATTTCATTAACACTCGGATAGGGAGTTATAGATAGGTAACTACGGTCCTGAAATACAGAGATACCCCAGTTTCGGCCCCAGCTCGCAGCAGAAAAATGACATTTCATATTTCTGTTATGTTTGTTAGTAGATCTGTATATGCAATTGTAGTGGAGAAATAAATATAATATGTTCATTTTAAGGAAAATACGTAGACATCAATAGTCGACGTTCACTATTTTATTTTTAAATACAATAAAATTAGCTTGATATGATGATGACGATCAATACGCTTCAAATAGAATGCAGGCACTATACGATCGGCAACAGATCAACACCAATATGTCAGGGTGTATTATAGGAAACTCTTTTGAACTATAAGCGGCCTGGTTTCCATATGGACAACAAAAAATGTCGCAGTGAAAACCGAGATAATGTGTGTAGAGAGCTGATTCATGTGAGTCGAAAAACTTCGTGAAACTCCTTAAATGTGGTATCAATTTAATCACCGAGCAAATTTGGGTTAACTATTTAAATAAGATCCGTGCAATAACGGTAATTGAGTAGGTATCAGTATCATATTCTATTTTTTAAGGTTAGAGGGTTCCGGACTACCTTACAATGTTTGTTTATTCGCATAGTTTCCTTTATTAAACTCACCTGCCAGTACTATTGACTTGAGGATCAGGTAACTTAGAGTTTGAAGTCTGCCTCACATGACGGAAGTACGAGTCCCCAGAATGCATGTCAGGCACTCCCGGTGCCCTTCGCACTCGTCCACCTCCTGGTATAGAAAAGGAGCCATACATGCGCCTGATTAAAGCCTTGTTCTCGTCTATAAACATTTCTATTTTGTCTCTGAAATGAAAAGAAGGAAATTTCCTTGATGTAAAAACGTTGAATTGTTAGTTTATGTGTAACGTAGCTAAAAATGCTAATACTTTGTTGACATTTTTTTTGTCAAAGTTTCGGTCATTCGGTTACACTCGCTCTAACCTTTCAGGTTCAGTGTAACATTTCCATAATGTATTCTTTTCTTGACAAACTCATTATATTCTTATTAGAAACCACATACAATAAATAAAGTTGGTATTGGACCAACTTTATTTCTTGTATGTTTAATATACTTATTAACACAATGTTATTTTGCCAAAATGCATACCACGCTTGGGATTTTCGATTAGAGGCTAAATAGTCATATCATTTCGAGTAGTAAGCTACACATTAACGTGAGTCTTATTACTGTTAAAGTTTACTAATGCTCTGTATCCAATTGTTTGATGTTACATCCGATTTCTAATCGAATTTTGTTTCTGTTCATAATTTTAAGGGACAACTTTTTTGATACTTTAAATTTTTCTCTCTTTCATTCTATTTGATGAGAGGAAGTAGCTTGAAAAACATCGTAAGTATGTTATATTTAGTTTTAGATAGTCGTTTATTATACAGGTTGTTCCACAAGTCGACGTCAAACCGGAATCTGGTGATAGGTCAAATTATAATAGTTAACAGAAAAATATATAAAAAAAAATCTTTGCTATGTATTTTAAAAATTACAGGCATTTATAAAAAATCGAATAAATCTACAGCCTGTTTACAACTACAAATATTAAATTTTTTAATTTATTTTTATTATATAATCCTGAATAATGCTTCTGAAAAGAGTTGCTTAAAATTTATAGCCAACAAGTCACACAGCCCCAGTCTAGAAGAAAATGTAATTATTTTCCCAACCAAGTATTCCAAATTAATACTTTACCCAGTTTTAAATACTGTACTGAAAAAATACTACACGAGTTTCGCAAGTAGCTTTAAAAATTGGTGCATTTAATAAGGATTTCAGACTGGTATAACACCTGCAAGATTATTTGTTATACTTATTATGGATTTTTTTAAGAAACCCGGTTATAAATTTTTTTTTAACTGTCTTAAATGATTTTTGTGTACTCCAAGGCTTTCCTCAAGCCTGTTACTTAAGATTTCCTCGTTTTTTTTAATAAATTGTAATTTCCAAAATACATAGCAAAGATTTTTTTTAAATATTTTCCTGTTAACTATTTCGACTTGACCTATCACCTTATTATGGCTTAGCGTCGACTTCTGGGACAGCCCTATATTTACATATGGGTGTTGAAACCTGGATTATCTTTTTCTTTATTTTATAAAAGTCGACTGCAAGATATGGTCTTCTTCCGTTGTAAAGTGTCTAAGTCGCCAAGTCTGGCTGGTGGATTGGCGATCGCAGACGTCACGCACCTTTGACGCTGTTCTGATCTGATTTTCTGCTCATCGTAATCGAAATAGTTGTATAGCCATCTATCGAAGACAGGATCCTTTAGCAATGTTTTAAGGAACCCCTTATAGCTTCTCATTCCGTTAGTAACTCCGCGACCACACGTGAATAATAAATAAAATAATTAATTGGTCTGTAAAACTCACGTAGGATAGGTGTTGCCAGCGGTGGGACAATAGAGTTGATAATTTCGCTTGACACACGGCACTCCTCTGATGATTTGACCTTGAAGTTCATAGCCCAGAGCGACTGACAGTGCTGTCCAAAGAATCTGTAACAGTTTTGTTTGATTAATTATAGATTAGACTGTGTGTAACACAGCGCGTTTGATTTGAAAATCGCTTTAAAGTAAAAATAAAAACGTAAAAAAAACTATGCTTATTAGTAATGAAGTCCAATAAAGCAATCAAGTATCTACCTACTACAATACGTTAAAATAATTTATTTAAAAAACCTTTGTGTGATTTCCATAACTTTAACCACAGAGAAGAATACAAAGTTTACGAACAATTCAGTTGTAAAATCGTAAATTGTTTAACACTAAGCAATTATTTATACACACGATGGCTGTTCAACGGGCGATCTGTGACTAGAATTTTGTGTAAAGTTTATATAAAAAAAATACAAGACGCAAAGGCATTGTTAGTCACTGTCTATTAAAATCTAAAATCGAATTGAGTATATAAGTACCAATTTAGGATTCTTACATTCCAAACAAGATATAGTAAACAGTGAGTTTACTATATCTTGTTTGAAAACAGTGAGAGAGAGAGAGTACTTTTATTATAGTAACTTTCGCTCAAAAAAGTGTAAGATAGGTGTTTAGTATGACAATATCTAGTAAAAAGAATAAATAAAATTGAATGTGAAGACTTACTTTTATACGATACCAGCGTAGTAAATTCATATCGATCAACGGATTTTTATTTACACGACCCGCCACCGTAAAGTGTATTAATTATCTAAATTAACAAAACAAGGCGGTAGTGAGGTGCTACCGAAAAAAAGCATTAGTCTGGACACGCCACAGTGCACAATGACTAATGTAATATCGCGGGATTCACGCCGAGATATTTTTGCGCTTTTATATATAAAGTAAATATAGATATCATGATTATTCTTAAAATGAATATATGACTTATGTGTCAACGATTACGTTAGCTTTTGATACAGCTAGATGTAGAGCATGCATGACGATATATAAAACAAAATAACAATCATAAAATTATACTTAATTTAAATTCAAACGAGCATCGGCTACCTACTATATTACACTGGTTGAGAATATAAATTTTATTAAATGTCTATATACTTATTTATTACATAATTCTATAATCTTAGTGAGGTAAATTTGAAAGATTTATAGATATCAATTTGTCCATTTTAAGATCTATTTTAGATATTTAGAACATTAAGAAACAGCTATTATTTAGAAATACAAAATTAATTGGACATATTTTAGATGCATCTATGTCAATAACCTAGTAAAGCATGAAAGAGTGTTGCATATATTTGCTACCATATACTATTTGATTGCTAGTCCCAAATAGTATTTATATCTATAGATCTGTAGATCAACTAAGATCTAGTTTACTTAGCTTAGTTCATATAATAGGTGTGAAGTCATACGGTATGATGGTATGAGTGTTGCGGCGACGTTACGTTGAAAGGACGGCTCGTTAGTTCGATTTCTTAAGTTCAACACACACGGTCAGTTAAACTCATCAGTTAAAACGATTTCCCTACTCACTGGCTTCTAATTTCAAATTGCACACTTACGGTCAGTTTTTCTATGTAAGTCAGTTCAACTGATTCGTTTAACTGACTGTATGCCCGGATATATCAGTGGGTTGCCGCTGTACTTAAACCTATTTTGCATTTGTTTTTACCCATCCAACTTTAAATTTGAAATATGTACTTTACAGCGAGCAGTGCCCAGCCGGCGGCCTGGCATTTTACTTTTACGTAGATTGTGCATAATACTTTTGATAAGTTATATTTAATAAATAACTGTTTGTCAGACTGTCCGGGAAGTGTATGAAATTTTGGGAGAACTCAAACGTATTGTGATCTTCTGGCAACCCTGAGTCGACTTTCTTTTTGCATACGCAAAACTACAGGAAAATTACTCTCATGCTAATCTTTTTTAATGTAAGTTTTAAGTGACAAACGAACTAACAATCCAGCTAATAATGAATAGGTACTGTAGACTATGGACACCTGTAATCAAGGATAAGCAAAGATTGTTAGATATGCGTTGTCTCCTCTAATGAATTAAGTGTCTCCCAGCCTGTATTATTTCTAAAGACGAAAGAGGAAAGAAGCTCTATCTCCTAGAAAAGCAAGCTATATAGATGGCTATGTTCGGGGTTTTCATGCGTGATAAATTTAGAAATGAGGATATCTGCAGTAGAACCGGAGTAACCGTCATAGCCCAACGGATTAGTAAGCTAAAGTGGCAGCTCGAGTGACAGCCTCGTACAGGTAGGCGAAGTGTAAGGCGGGCCTCTAGTAGGTGGCGTGACAACTTGTCAAGACATGCTGGAAGTCGATGGATACAGACGGCTCCGGAACGTGATTTGAGCGTTCCTGGGGGGACCTATGTATGGACTTGTAGGTTCCATGATGGTCTTTGTCTCTGAGAGTCACGGGTAGGGATGCCAGATGTGTTCAAAGAAAAAACCGGACAAGTTTTTATTTGTTTTCACTTCTTACATAAAAATGTACTTTAATACAAAAAAAAAAAACAAAAATAAAAAAGTGAAGTTTAAATGCACTTTGGTGATGTACTTTGTGTACTGGAAACTTACTTACTAAACTACAGCCATTCTACTTTTTTATATATTTAGAACTCTGACTGCTTTTAATAAAGTATTATTGCCTGAGATGGCATCTTTAAATTCAGTGCTACTAACATATACATTACAAAACGCACAATTCACTTTTTACAGTTTGTACGGCGAGACGATTTCTTTCATCGGTTCATACATTTCCTTTGACGCTGAACATTCGTTCCACAAAAGCATTAGATACGGAATTTTCAATAAATTTGGCGCTGCTTCGTTGTTAAAAAATTTGCCTACGAAACACTCGTGCTGTTCGGTAGAAATATTGAACGATTATTTTACTACCGGAAATTTTTGTCTGGTTTACCAAGAATTTTGTGACCGGACAAGTATAATGAAAACCGGATTGTCCGGTCGAAAACCGGACATCTAGCATCCCTGGTCACGGGGTAAATCACAATATACTCGCATGAATTTTTGTCTCAATGAGAGTACGTTCTCTGCTACATGTTTTTAAATATTTACAAAATATGCAGATGTTAGAACAATATTTAGTTTTCATAACCGTTATAAAATAAAGTGCCTACACAATCGAACAACGACATTCATTTAAAACTCATCGAAAATATCAACAAATTAAGCTTGGCGTATTTCAATGTATTTTATTCTAGTCTCTATGTTATGTTGAGGTCAATGTGTAACTTGGAATACACAATTTTGTTTAGTTTATGTTGTGAGTTGTGGGTTGTCGACCTAATAGATACATACATTATATTTTGTTAACAATATGTGGCGTCTAAACGACCACTACTACGAGCATTATAAATTGATTCAGTCTATTTATATGCTAAACGCCTTCTACATTTATAGAACGAAAATGTGTGGACGTTGTACTGTTTAATAGATGTTAAAATGTTTTTTATTATTATATTTATATAATAATTTCTTTAAATTATGTTTGTACTCGTACCTAACATATTAAAATGTGTATTTACGTATGAAATAATATGTCCCACACTAATATGCACCTGTTATGTTAAATATTTTAAAGGCTTTTAGCTTCAATAACATAGACTATATTGTACCTTTAAATTTTAAAAGAATGCCATACCTATTAAGAATAAAACATCAATACAAGTGGTAAAAATATTAATTTTGTACAAATGAGAACATCATCAATGTATTCGAAGTCAATTTAATATGCATTATTAAGGATAACTCGAAAACTACTTGTCAGATCTTGCTCAAATTTATATGAGACTACATGAGAAGTACCAGCTTTAAAATGATAAAAAAGAATCAGCTTGAATTTTGAAGTCGGTTGAAAACATTGCAGGTGTGCACAATAACTCACTAACCTTTCGTCGTAATCGGACGAAAGGTATAGGACGCTTAAAAACAACCAAAAAAAAAAACAATGTTTTTTACCTGTATTAAATAAAGATTTTCTGGGTCCTTCCCAAGTCATCCCTTATGACACCTACAGGATGAAATTGGTTATGTTCTTCTTTATTACGCTACCATAGGGCACTTATAATGGGCACTTATAATTTTCATAATGGGCTTGAATTCCAGTTTAAAAAAACTTCCAACCCGGAAAAAAAAAGGGAAACCACCCCGAGCCAGGAAAAACTACAATTTAATTTCTAAAGAGAATTCTCAAAACGTTTATTTGTAGAAAAAGAGAAAATGAATAATTTACGATCTAAATTAAAATTGTTGGATATCGCTTACGTAAATTAAGTATTAATTGTCTCAATATCTACCTCTCGTTATTTCTTTTGTAATATTCTAAGATTTTAATTTAGTGAGAGTCAGAGAGTAACTTTAAGCAATTGTTTAAATCGACATATTATCTTATGAGTTTATGAGTAAGCACGATTACCATTGAATTATATTACGTGTTTAGATTAAATTATTGTTAGGCGCCTACTTAGCGTAATTTCGAAAAAAAAGCAAATATAATGTAACTCAAAGAGATAAAAAACAGCGTGTGTTCTATTTTTCAACAGACTTCAAAGAAGGAGGAGGTTCTCAATTAATATAAATCTGTTTTTCTTTTTTTATGTATGTTTATCGATTACTCGAAGACACCTGAAACACTATTTTTTTGTTTCAAAGTATATACTTTCCAGGTTTCATTTTAATTATATTCAATACGGTGGAGCAGTTATTAAAAAATTAACAATATTTTTTTTATATTGGAGTCGGTTGCACATTTTTTTAATTTTATCACTTGTATTGTAGCATAGTGTAGCCACCCGTTTGTATGAAAATAATTCAAAGTATCTTAAAATGTTGATTGCAATGCAACTGGCGATATTGTGACTATCCGTAGTACATTAAATAGGAGTGACCATTCACTTATACACGTGTATAGCCGCACGTTCTTGGACGTGACTTTTTGCTGTGACTCACTAACAATGGGTTCGTTTACTTTTTACGCGAGAAAATAAAATAACTTATAAAAATATGAAAACGTCTT